CTGGTGGGTGACGCCACACTCCCTCACTCTTTGACATCATTAGAACACCGTAGAAAGGTCGGCGACCTTTCACTTTTCTATCGATACTTCCACGGGAAATGTTCTCCGGAAATCTCTGCTATCATCCCTTCACTAGCAATACCAATCAGACGAACTAGACAAGCCCAGTCAGCACATCCTTTCGTTGTCAACCTCGAAAGATGTCGAACAGCACTTTATCAAGACTCCTTCATCCATAGAACAGCAAGGCTCTGGAATTCATTGCCTGTGGAAGTATTCCCAACAACATATAATCTCCAAAAGTTCAAAAAAAATTCCAATACCTACCTCCTGTCCCTATCCTCCCTAGGAACGCACGATGTTCTCTGAACATTATAGGGATTCCCTCTCGTGCGCTCCAAGCGATAAAAAAAAATCCTGCTGGTGTTTGGCTTGTGGAAGGAGTCATTCCGAAAAAGTATTTCCTTCTTTGAAAAACTATTGCCCCACGTTGGGCGCCAGACGTTACGAAACTGCCAAGGGACGGTCCCTTTAAAAATGCAGGGTGGTTCTTTCAATGATTTTCCAATAAAAATCTAACCATCCTTCCATCTTCATTCTTCAATTGGACGTTACTGAAAATACGTGAGTGTCGCTTCAAGAGCCGGCAATGACGATAAAGGCGATATTGTAGCAAAACTAACTAAACAATATGATTATCATTATAATCAACATAATTATATACCCTAGAATAATATCAAAATGCAACTTCACCTAAAAATACAGGTATAACTGAAGTTGAATGCACTACACTGCAACACAAGACTAAAATGCACCAAAAATATTTAGTCAGTTGACGTTAACTGAGATATACGGAAAATGAGCCTCTGGCATGAATATTCTATACTACTTCTGGGTCTAGTGATTTTGCGGATTCTGAATGAGAACATCTTGATTGCGGCATGGCCAGGCAAATACATCCTGCGCATTCATCCACAACATCGATACCAGATGGAGAAGGTTTCGTTGTATTACTCAAAAATTTGATTTCAGTTCGAACCAAGTATTTGGAAAATATTTGACGTATCATTGACTCATTTGGCGATGAGTGTAGATAATATACAACGACATTATATACGACTTGGAATTGAAAGACCAAATCATCGAAAGAACTGATAGTGTGAAAAATATCTACGAATAACCTCAGATAACGAATTATCTTTCGAACAACACATCGAACAAATAACACAGAGTCACTTGAAAACATGAGATCCATATTCAGAGTCAATAAAAAATTCAACTGTTGGAAATTTATTACTCTCCTGTTCAATACTATTGAAAAAGCTATTATAGAATGGGCGTGTATACCTTGGTAGAACTTTCAACTCAAACCATGTTTATAATGATCCTTCTATACATAAATGATGATTGACGACATAATTCGATCGAAAAATTAACTAGAATGTTTTATTTTAGGACATTAATAATAGTACTTTATGAAAACGGACCCTCTTATGACGTAGAAACCTCATCCCGCCATAGTTAAAAGAAAATACCAAAAGCCCGACGGAGACTGAGGCAACTGATATATTAATTCTCTCAACTGTGATCTCGAGCTAATTCTCTCTGTTAGAAATCATGTATCATTCATCTCTGTCTGGAATAGTCTTGTTTCAGTATTAGGGTTTTGACGTCACATCATCGCCTCGTTTTCAGAGGTCCGAAAAATCGGAGAATTTCAATAATTGTATATGAAACGTAGGAAGCTCATAGCAAGAAACGGTTTGCGGTGGTGAGCTAGTTTGGGTAAGTTCTATCGAATTATGAAATGAAATTTTTTTGTGATACAAGCCCATTGAGCTATTTTTTACCTCGAACGAGACAAAAGAGCGTTCTCTCCTTTTCCATCTTACTCTTCAATGCTACCAACGTGGCCGCATTGAAATATAAAGAGGTCCGATGAATCTTTCCCTGTACAACATCTAGTTTCTGCCACTGAACTATTTTTGAATTCAATAGTGTCGAACTAACGATATCAACAAGGAATGTAGAGATAATTATGATATAATCTGTAATTCCAATTCAGAAATTTGAAAGGTTATCAGTCAATGACATTCATGACATATACATATCACATCATTATAATCTGAACTAACTGAAATATCTCACTAGAACTGAACTGAATCAGTTATCAGGTGTTCTTTCGAATGAACTTGATTACCCAAATAACACCTATGAACTTGAGAACTGACAGCTGACTATCAAAATTTAATGCCTTCCCGGCATCGAGGTGTCTAAGCGTGTCTAAGCAACAAATTTCAATGCACCATTGATGGGAGCGTTCATCAGCCACCAACGTATATGCGTATTCCATTGTATAACTATCCTACCCATCTCGATGATTTTGAGAATAGTTTTCTTCTCCTTCGTGAAACCTAGGGTGATTTTGGTTGGATTGATACTGACCGAGTCCCACCGATTGACACCATTCTATTGTGAGATGATCAATGTCTTCAATAGATGTTTAGAAATGGAAGGAACTTTTCTCTGGTAGTTTTTTCTTCAATAAATACCCACCTCCAAAATATGTGCCCGTTAAAGGAACCTTCCTCTGGAAACTCATGAACCGTGCAACATAGAGAATCTAACTCGTATTCATCAAACTGCCATAAACGAACACTCTATTGACTGCGGTACAATAGTAGAGTTTAAACGGGATCCTATCGTGCTATCCCGTGGGCACTTTGTTGCTAAAATGTAAAACCCATTTTTTATCATTCCTAAGACCTTTGCAATGCAAAATCACTTGGTCGTCAAAAAATCGTAGTTGGAGGGGAGTGGGGGGAGCCTTTAAAAAAAACAATTTTTTTTTTCATCGGTTTTCAGATCTAAGATTTGAGATAATTCATTCCTCAAATTTGCATACCCATCCGGATATCAGAAATATTTTTTTTTAATTTATAGCTGCTGCTGTTCGTTAAATCCATTTCTAGAGACTACAAAAAAATACTAACTGTACCTGATACTCACTAAGTAAGTTCTGAATATTGATAACTTTATTAATTATTTTTTTTGAAGTTATTATTCGCTTTTAATAATATGATTTATAGACAAGAACTTTATAACTCATCAATAGTAATCTAAGTGGAATCCGCGCTACCAGAACAATGCATTCGAATTTACAACAAAACAGTGAATTCACGGTAAAATCGACCGTACCAACATCGCCATCAGTAGAGTGGATTTTCGGTTGAAATAGGCATAGCTGATGTTTGGTCTTTAACGTTTATAGAAAGCCTTTTTCTACTAGACCCAATACTTTTCGAGGTAGAGCGAGTTAAATGATTTTGAAAATATGGGTGTTCAGGGCAAGCGGTTTTGTGTGAAGGCGCACCATATACAACAATGCTGCGACGTATTTTCATAAATTAAAAAAAAATATTTCTGATATCCGGATAGGTATGCAAATTTGAGGAATGGATTATCTCAAATCTTAGATCTGAAAACCGATGAAAAAAAAAATTGGCTTTTTTTTTAAAAAGGCTCCCCCCACTTCCCCCCAACTACGATTTTTGGACGACCAAGTGATTTTGCATTGCAAAGGTCTGAGGAATGATAAACAATCTATTCTAGAAGCCTTTTGCCAGTCTATTTACTCTACTACAAGTGTTTAAGTATCAGATACAACTTTCTGATATCTATAACAAATAATCTCATCACATATTGTTGCCCAGAAATGCGTTGAAGATTATTGTTCAAAAGTTGGGTGTCCTGTAACTCCGAAACCGACTAAGACATTGGAAAATTGCTGAAAAACTATTTCCTTCCCTTGTTTATTCTGAATGGAGAGTACTGAGTGCAATTCTTTCGTATGAGCACTCTGACATGAATTATACTGGATTTCATATAGCCATGCCATTCGCAGTGACCATATTGGATTAAACACATTTTCGAGGAAAACATCTGGTACAACATCAATGTCTACCGTATCTTGAAGGGGTTCCAGGTAGTAATTTCTTTCGTCCACAAATAATCCCACGGAATACCTTATGCTCCAGAACAAAACAAAGTAAGCAGAATATGTGCCGAGGCATCTGAGTTTGCAGCTTAAGATAGTGTTGAGAGCTGCAATCATGCTAAGTGGAAAACATATGCTTTCTGCACATATTGTACACATTTTCCCTATGATCGAGTTCTGTTTTCAGATTCCATCAAGAAGTAGGTACCTACTTCACGATAAGTACAAGAAATATTACTGATTCTTGAAATAATTACAAAATGACATGTATAGTTCTAACTTCTTCTAAAAAAACATAGTTATTTACTTTCTAGAGTGAATTTCAATTCCAGTATCGCAGTAACAACAATTCTCTAATAGGTATCTGATGAACTACCTTGATTGTCACTAGTTTCTTTCATTGAGAGTACAACATGATTATTTTAAAATATTCAAATGACGCATTCCTAAGAAAATGTGAAGAAAAAAAATCTATATAAACTTTTGTCTGGAAACGATTCGTTACGGAGTTTTATAGGGTATTGAAATTAATTTGTGTCATGTCAATCAAAACACAAATTAGTTAGTGTGATGTCTGAAACCTAGAGGCCAAACACCATGGGCATGCTGGCTTCCGCAATATAAGCTTATTTTCATAATGCTTCAAACGGTACACACAATAGATATATGACTATTTATTACAAGACAGAGAATTAGTTGTTTCTGTCAGCAGGAATGATTGATTGAACAAATCAATCAACTTCCTGCGCTTGTTAAAAAAATATTGTACCCAACTCATGCGGAAAGTGTTTTTCCCGCACTCGACTGCTCGCCCAATCTCCGCTTCGCGTCGTTTGGGTCAACGGCATTCACGTGCGGGAAAGTATCACTTTCCGCACTTGTTAGGAAAATCATCATTTCTTTCCGGCTCCATGTGGCCGAATTATGGAAATATATCATCCAGCAATCTCCACCATGTTTCTGATTGTTCATTGATTTTTTACAATGTTGAATTTCATTTCAGGGTCCTATGGTTATTACTCATATCGATATCAGTAGGAAGCTGCGGCTACCTTATTAGCGAAATTTACAGAAAATTCGACAAAAGTCCTGTCATAGTGAGCTTCGCCACTACTGAGACTCCAATTTATACCATACCATTTCCTGCAGTGACCATATGCCCAATGACCAAAGCCAGGAAATCAATTTTCAATTTCACCGATGTCATCTATAAGTTGGAGAGGAATGAATCCTTATCTCCAGAAGAGTGAGTTTTCTTGAAATTTTGTTGCAAAAAAAAACAATTGCATACCATGGTATTATATTGTATGCATGATGGATGCATGCATACACTGCGACCTGAAAGATCTACTGTGCCACTATTGTTTGCTAAACTCAATGGGATTGTTCTTAGGGCTTCGCAAGACCAAGATCTCGAGACATTAATGTAGTTTTGGCCTTGGTATTGGTCTTGAAAGTTTAAGTCTCGGATCAAAGGGCGTCTAGGAATTTGAATTATTTAATTCAAATATCCATCATTGTATATGCATATGATAGGTATTCCGTATTTCTCAGTCTTTACAATTGCCAATTAATGCTTATGAAGTAAGCGAAATGAATTTATCTCATTACCATAAGAATGTGATTTTTAAAAAACCTGAAATGAACATTGAATGAGACCCAAACAGCAGATAGGCCAGAAAAAAGGTTCAAAGGGGTCGGAACTGACAACAACGCATTATCAAAATATTTCAAAAAATTTCATATCCAAACCAGATAACTTTTGTATAGAAATCGTTTCTATCCTCAATAGGAAGAGATATGGGCCACGTGACCTCACAACATACACCTATTTGTTGTTAACTTTGAAACTGCAATACTGAATTTGAATAATGCATTTCGGATTTGTAGTGAACGTGAATCAAAAACCTACCATATGATAAATGAATAACTGAAATAAAATGGAATCACATTTTCCATAGGATTTTTCTTTATATTGAGTAGATTTGAGCTCATTATTCTTCTTTCAAGACCAAGACTATTGGGAGAGAGTCTTGGTCTTGGTCTTGGGCCCAAAAGTCATGCCTTGGTCATGGTCTCCAAAGTCACGCCTTGGTCTTGGTCTTGAAAAGATTCAGTAGGTCTTGGTCTTGTATTACGATGAAGACTGGACTCTTGGTCTCGCGAAGCCCTCGTTTTTCTTCGTAGTTATTGCAATTTCTCATCTCCTTCATTACTCAGGAACTTCAGGATATGAGGTATTTTCAGGTAAGGTAGCTCCTCCTTTTGAATTACAACAACAACAACAACAATTTTAGGTAAATACCTACAGGGTGATCCACGGTGGATGGCCTATTAGAAGTATCAGGAGAACGAAGAGACAGAACATTCTGAAGATTGGGATGCTTTGATAATTGAACATTCTCTATCCGTCTTGAAGAGTTTCATCGATACAGTGTTGCCACTTCTACCAGAAACAACTAGCACTTCTGTTATTTCAAATAGAACACCCTCTATTTCATTCCATTTTTAGATTCTTCCTGAAGAGCTGATTTCATCAATGCATCACACTTGGGGTCTAGCAGGAATGATAACAGTGCTATAGGGTGTTTAAAATCGATATTTTTCAATTTTAGGATTTTTTGTGTCGAAACTATTCATTATCGATCAAAACGGCTAACATGTCCCTATCTTAACTTTCGTTTCACTATCTACTGGAAATCAATTGGAAAATATACAGGGTGCTTCAAGATTCGGAATTCTGAATATGACATATTATGCTCTTTGAAGCGATCGTCATTAATACCACCTATCTATAGTCGCGTTTCTCTTTGATTCTCTGGTGTAGGCATTGTGTAGGTACGACTGAAACGGCATAGAATGATGGATGACATTGATGTGATGACAACCGGGTAATAACCACATGCAATCAAAATGACATAATCAACAATAAAAAACATCAAAAAGTGATGTAAATTTTTTTTATCTTTGAATTGAATCCATGGATTGATGATACATATTGGACAACAATTTTGGTATAACTATACGTACGGACTAATCGATAATCGGTCCTTATATCAATTGGTGTAATTGGATATCATCAAATTCTGATTGTACCTATATATTAATGGAGAATATTGTGGTGAATCATGCAGTGAAAACCATAAGAAATAGGGAAATGGAAAGTGCATTGAAACTCATATATTTTTTTGTTGAAGATAATACCTAGCGACATTTTTCATGAAATTATGGATTCGTGAATCTAGGATGATGAATTTTCAATACTGACCTTTTTCAGAAAATTCTTATACCAAGATTCAAAACAAAGACAGTTCAGAGCCATTTCAGGATGATTCCTGAATGTTTTCATGAGTTATATGCAAATTTTTTCTCTTTCGTTAGCTCATCTATTCGATCAGTAGAAGTCTACAATTTTTTTCCAAGTTTTTGATGACAACAAAATTAATATAATCACCTGACGAAGCTACTGTGTTAGCGAAACATGTTGTGTGTCTAAGAATTTTGTGGAAATCATATCGTTTGTGAAGTGTTTACATTAAGGATTTTCCCAGATATATAGATTAGATTAGATTTGGAATGGGGCCTTCGGGCTATCTGCCTCCACACTTCGACCTTTTCAGATCTATTGTGCCTGCCCTCAAAATGGATTAGAGTTCTTCGGCTAGCCCCGCCTTCTCTATGAGACTCCATAGGCTAGCTTTCAGATCTCCTGTGTATCTCTGGGCTCCTGGTTTTTCCTCACCCAGCGAAAGGAACCTTAGTCTTGACAAGCCCTCACAGTGGCAAAGTATGTGTACTGCTGTTTCTTCCTCTTCTTGACAGAACCTGCACAGCAGTTTTTCAGTCAGACCTATCGTACTCATGTGTTTGTTGAGCATACAATGCCCTGTGAGAAGTCTAGTTGAACTTCGTTTCTGGCTTAGTAGATATTCTGTGAATGTTGGCGATGGTTTTTTAATAAACTCTTTTGCCTGTCTCATTCCTGGCGAGTTGTTCCACCATTCTTGAGATTTAGTTTGCATCCATGATTTGATACTAGTCTTTTGTATAGCTTTCACAATACCACAGAAGGGTTCTGGGCCATTAAGAGCTCTGTTTGCTCCTGCTCGGGCAAGTGAGTCTGCCTCTTCATTGCCCTCGTACCCTGTATGTGCTATATTTTGGAATCATGCCATCCGTTGGCATCCCCATGATGGGGTCGCTTTCCAACTCTTTATATAGCTTCCTATAGTCTTTACCGTGCGCGTTGCTCATGGGTGCTTGACCCCTTGACAATCTACTCACGACTACTCTGGCTTCGCCTTGAATATATATTTGTAGTGGTGGTAGGTTCAAGAGGACCTCTAAAGCGGCTGTTGGTGTGGTTTTCATTGCACCAGTGGCACTCAGGCACGCTTGCCTTTGAATAGCACTGAGCCTTCGAATCACTCCAGCCTGTTGTGTCTTTGGCCACCAAACTACTGACCCATCTGCTATCATAGGCCTGATGACGCTGGCATAGAGCCATGTGGTCATTTTTGGTTGCAGTCCCTAATTTTTTCCGCACATTCGTCTGCACAGATTGAAGGCTACTGTACTTTTTTGAACAATTTTTTGTAGGTGTTGATTCCATGTTAACTTATGGTCAAAGATAACTCCTAAGTAGTTTGCCTCTAGGGCGAACGGAATTTCTACCCCGTTGAGTGCTGGTGACTTTAGTCCTTCCAGTACTCTCTTTTTCGTGAGATTCACTATAGTGGTTTTATGAGGGTTCACGGTGAGTTCCTCCTCTTTACACCAATTGTCAATTATGTTTAGAGCGGTTTGTGTGAGCTCCGAGACCGCACTTGCGAATCTACCTCTAGCAATAACCGCCAGATATATAACTATAATCTCTTTCTAAATTTTACGATACAGTACATCTGGTGATCCCGCAAGTTATGGCCCAACAATGGGTTTTTGAGCTATTTTCCTAGAGAAATTGTTTGCTACTTTATTGTCTCCTACCCCGGAATGTCCTGGAAACCAAAGAACGGTGACTGTAATTTTTGGTTAGCTCTTTCAGCTTCCACCGGCGTTTTTAAACCATTTCAAAGCTAATGTAAAAACTTCACAAACGATATTATTCCCACAAAATTCTCAAACACACGACATGCTTCGCTGACACAGTAGCTACGTCAGGTGATATACTGGTACGATCACCTGACGAAGCTACTGTTTTAGCGAAACATGTCGTGTGTTTCGGAATATTGTGGAAATCTTCTCGTTTGTGAAATTTTCACATCTGTCATGGATTTCCATCAAGTAACGGCCGAGTCAATTCGAACATTTTGGTGCCGATGAACATAGAGCTCAGCGCTTCAATGGCTGCTAAAATAGCAGACATGATTTATTTATTTATTTATTTATTTATATATTTGGGATACAACAGGCAGAAGCCCAGGACAGCATCCACTTAACAGTTATTTAAAAAGTCAATCGGCATAACAAATGATTTCAACTTAGAGCATTTTACATAGTAATGACTCAATGGGACTCAATTGTGGTAATATTAAAGTTGATTCACTTACACATAAGTTTACAGCTACAATTAACATAAGTAAGTTAACAGTCCACATAAATAAATGTCTAGTTCACATGAATAATTCACATAAATAATTACTTAATTACTTAATGTATCTACCGACATCCATGGGATACAGATTTTTATAATAAATTGGAATTGGGATTATTTAAATTCAAAAGAAGGCGTTTAATACATTTTTTGAATGTAGTGAACGATGTATTGAATATGTCATATTCATGAAAGTATTCATTGAAAGATTTAGTCATTCTGCAGATTGGTGAGTTATTAGCAGAGTTCGTGTTTTTTAACGGAATATCAAACACATTGTGATTTCTCAGTGATCTTGAAGGTACATTCATGTTTATTCTGTTCAAAATAGCAGGACTATCAATTTTTTCGTTTAATATTTCATGCAAATTGAGCACATCGTTCATTATTCTTCGGTTTTCTAAAGATAATATTTTGTAATCATCACAAATAGAAGCGACGGGGGTGTGTGTTTTGTATGACAAATATCTCAGGAATTTATTCTGAACATTTTCGAGTCTCTCAACATAAACATTGTACTGAGGGTTCCAGATAGAAGAGGCAAAGTTGAGTTTGCTGAAAACATAAGCATAATAAAGTACTAATATCGCCTGAGGGTTAGATATAAATTTAGTTTGTCTCATGATAAATCCTAACATCTTGAGAGAATTGTTTATTACATCATTTATATGACGGTCAAATAAGAGTTTACTGTCATATGTGACTCCTAAATCTCTGACTTGGCTACATCGTTTCAGTCCAACTCCATTCAGAATATAATGACCAACAGATACGTTCTTGTTTCTCGTGAACGTTATACAGTGACATTTGTCAGGGTTGACAAATAAATTATTCTCACTACAGTAGGTTTCAAATCTATGCAGATCCCTTTGTATTTTGTCGCAATCGGATGTGTTCCTCACTTCTAGGAAAATTTTGAAGTCATCAGCATAAGCTAGATATTTGCAGTTCTTGAAGCAATCGGATATGTTATTGATGTAGATTAAAAACATGAGGGGCCCCAGGTGTGATCCTTGTGGTACCCCTGATGTTATGTTTGTGACATCGGAAGTGCAGCCGTGGAGTGAAACATACTGGGTTCTCCCGGATAGATATGACATAATCCAAGTTAAAAGAACACCATCCACACCCACCCCAGCAAGCCTATCGACCAAGATACCGTGGTCTATTTTGTCGAATGCCTTGCTGAAATCGGTGTAGATGGCGTCTACTTGGATTTTATTGTCCATAGCATTCAATATATATTCTGAATAACATGTAAGATTGGATTCAATGGATCTATTTTTGAAAAAACCATGCTGCTCTGGCATTATCTGACGCAACACTAACTGGTGAAGTGATTTGTGAACAAACGTTTCAAACAATTTGGCAAAGATGCACCTCTTACTAATGGGTCTATAATTGTTTATCAAGTTTTTTTGCCCGGATTTGTAGATTGGAATAATACAAGCTGACTTCCAGTAATCTGATATTGATGTCATAGCTTCTTTCTTGGTAATTTGAGGTACATAGTTTGTGGTGATATATATATATATATATATATATATATATATATATCCAGTGGTATCCTAGCTTGTTCTGAGATCTCGAGGATTTTTAAGGATTTATAAATTCAATCTATGTGTAGGTTCTCCTTTCTCAAATTTTCATGATACTGTATAGCTGCTGATCCCGCAGAAAAGTTATGACCCAAGAATGGGTTTTCGAGCTCTATTCCTAGAGAGTTTGTTTGCTACTCTATTTTTTATTACCCCAGAATGTCCCGGAACCCATAAAACGGTGACTGTGATTTTTGGTAAGCTCTTAAAGCTCACACCAGGATTCCCAAACCATTTCAGAGCTGATAACCATAGACATCAGTACTTTGATGGCCGCTTGAATATCGGACAAAATATTGATATGTGATATGTCATAGCTTCTTCCTTGGGAATTTGCGTTAGATAGTTTGTGGTAGTATGTATACAGAAGTATCTTAGCTTGTTCTGAGATCTTGAGGCTTTCTCCACATAAATATTAATTCAATCTCTGTGCAGGTTCTCCTTTCTCAAATTTTTCGGATACAGTAGGTACAGATGCCGAGCTCAGCGCCCTGATGGCTGCTCAAATATCGCACATGGTATTGATGTCACAGCTCCTTTCTTGGGAACTTGCGTTAGATATTTTGCGGTAATATGTATCCAGTAGTATCCTAGCTTGTTCTGAGATCTTGATGAATTTTCTAGATATTCAATCATAATCTCTCTGTGCAGGTTCTCCTTTTTCTAATTTCTCTGATACAGTACAGCTGCTGATCCCGCAGGAAATTCATGGCCCACCTATAGGTGTTTGAGCCCTTTCCTAAAGGGTTTGTTTGCTACTTCATTTCCCTCTACTCCGGAATGTTTCGGAACTCATAGAACGGTGACTGTATATTTTGGTCAGCTTTCAAAGCTTCCACCGGCATTCTCAAACCATTTTAGAGCTGATAACGATACAGCTCAACGCTTTGATAACTCTTCAAATATCGGATATGATATCGATATGTCATAGCTTCTTCCTTGAGAATTTGAGTCAGATAGTTTGTGGTTATATGTATCCAGTAGTATCCTATAGCTTGTTCTCAGATCTTGACGATTCTTCTAGATATTCAATCATAATCTCTGTGCAGGTTCTCCTTTTTCTAATTTCTCTGATACAGTATAGCTGCTGATCCCGCATGAAAATTCATGGCTCATCTATATGTATTTGAGCTCTTTCCTAGAGGGTTTGTTTGCTACTTCATTATCCTCTACTCCGGTATGTCCCGGAACCCATAAAACGGTGACTGTAAATTTTGGTCAGCTTCCAAAGCTTCAACCAGAATTTTCAAAACATTTCAGATCTTATATCCATAGCGCTCAGCGCTTCAATAGCTGCTTAAATATCAGGCATGATATTGATATGTCAAAGCTTCTTCCTTGAGCATTTGCGTTAGATAGTTTGTGGTAATATGTATCTGAGACCTCGTGCATTTCTCCAGATATATGATTATAATGTCTGTTCAGGTTCTCCTTCTTCTGATTTTTCTGATACAGTACATCTGCTGATCTCGCAGAGAAGTTATGACCCAATAATGGGTTTTTGAGCTCTTTACCTAGAGAGTTTGCTACTCTATTTTCTCCTATCCCGGAGTGTCCCTGAACCCATAGAACAGTGACAGTAATTTTTAGTTAGCTCTTTTTCATCGGCATTCCCAAACCATCTCAGAGATGATGAACATTCAGCTCTGCACGTTGATGACTGTTTGAATATCGAACATGATATTGTTATGTCATAGCTTCTTCCTTGGGAATTTGTGTTAGATAGTTTGTGGTAATAGGTATCCAGTATCGTTCTGAGATCTTGAAGATTTTTACAGATATATGAATTTGATCTCTGTACAAGTTTTCTATTTGAAAATGTTTCTGATACAGTACAGCTGCTGATTCCGCAAAAAAAGTTATGACCCAACAATGGATTCTTGAGCTCTTTGTCTAGAGAGTTTGTTTGCTACTTTATTTTCTCCTACCCAAAAATGTCTCGAAACCCATAGAATGGTGACTGTGATTTTGGATAGCTCTTTCAGCTTCCACTAGCATTCCTAAACCATTCTAGAGCTGATAGGTAACCATAGAGCTCAGCGCTCTAATCACTGATTGAATATTGGACATGATAATGATATATGTTCTAGCCTTTTTCCGAGCCTTTTTCTTGATAATTTCTGACGGCTCTCAAAGAAGACTCGTAGACTCATATTCCTGTTTCATCTTTCATAGGATAAATAACACCTGGAATGGTCTGCAGAAGTCTTGGTAGAGAAATGAATTTCCAGTTCTCTTAATTGAATTTCTGGAATTGAACCACTTCCCATTTATTTTTCAGAGCTCTTCATGGACAGTACATGTCAGAGGTGTGTGAATACGGGCAAAGTTTATTTCCTGCCAATTTGACCTTCTCAGATGACTTCTTTCATGAGTTGGATAAGGTAAGGATTTCCTGATTATAAGGTACTAGTATACATGTTCTTCGTTATTGCTCATACCATCCTGGATGATTTTCATAGCACTATTTTTGATTGGCACTATTTAGTTAGTGATAATTCGAATTTCCATGCTCTGTGCCAACAACAGTTCACAGGACAACAATTTTTTGATGAATTATCACAGAAATTAATGAATAATCGGAGTTATCTCACTTTCAAGTAGCAAAATATCGAGAATGCTCATTGGAAGAGACTCAATTTTGAGAAAAAAAGTTCCAATAAACATTGCAGATAAACAAAAATACGAGATATTCTGGTCACATACACTGGGAGAAATTATCCGTTGTAAATACCTAAATTTCATTACACCATACCAAGCGTTGTGGTTGAATAGGCGCCAGTCACTATATTCATCAAATATAACCACTACAAAATAGTATGATTGAGGCAATATGACATACTGAAGCACTACGAATGAGTGAATAATACTATTCAGCTCAGATAATAAATTCAGACTCTACTTATTTAATTTATATTTACCACTACAAACTAGAGATTTCTCCTCATAGATTCGTTCATTTTTGTCACAGAATCCCAATATGTATGATAATTAGGTAGGTAGTAGAGATAGTTATCTGAGTGGATGAATGAAGTTGGGAATGAGAGAAAAATCGAATTATTGTGTAAATTTGATTTTTGTGTGCAACAAAAATTGAGATTTTTTTTTCTCCGTGCAACGTCTACCTGCCATTTCACTTTCATGGAACGAATAGGTATTTTCCTTACTTTTGAACACCGGTAACAACTCTTCGAGTTCGAGATCAGGTACAGTTCACACTTCACAGTACTACAGTTTGTAGGTAAGTAGGTACTTAAACTATACACATGCACAGCACATGAAAACTTCATGGGCCAATGAAATTCATTTCATTCATGATTCACGAGACGAACGCAACGAACTATGAACTATGAACTGATGAAACGACCACGCCAACGCCATTGCATGCATTGAAAAAAACGAACGTGGACGATCGGCTTCGTGATTTCGGCATATCATTCTCTGATGTGGTAGATTTGTACATCACAAAAAGTGAACCTATTATTATCACCGTACGCACTAATACGTAGTGGTAAATAGAAATATCAGGGAAGTAACATTCAACACAATCCTAATAACTACTATAAGAGATATTTATCAATTACTGGATATGGAACATGTTATATCATGTAGTGGTGAATAATAATTTCAACTATTAATATTCGGAGGTGGTATGTCTAAGTACTGATCACTCAAATAAGTGATATCACGAATATGTGTTGTGTTTCATGGAACTAATTCGAAACCACCATTACATTTAGTCATAAAAATTTTCATTCATTTTCTCAGTGTGTTAAATATCTGTAAGCAATAAATACGGTAGTAGTTCTTTCAGCTGATTTAAGTACTATTGGAATCGTTAGGACAATATTATCAATGTTTTATATAATGTGTTGAATGAATATGATTGGAGAAATTTCGAATTTCATCATTAGATATGGGAGAATGTTCCGTTTGTTTAGGGAATCTCGATGCATATATATATACAGAAAAATCAAAATTTCCTGTTGAACGCAACTTCTCGTGAATCTGATCATTACACACATAAAAAGGATTCCTCGTTCCCAGAAAATATATTTTTTCAACAAGAATTACTCTGGATGAGAATATATTATTTTTTATTTCTCAATAACTATTCTTGAAAACAGAGATTTGCTTTTCTCAAATCAATATTTCCATTTATCCGACTTTATTGCTTCATTCAAGAAAACAGACCTCATTTGAGATTTTTTTTTGTAAAAAAATATTGATTCTTGTATCAAATACCACTATCATCTGGATTCAATAATCATCATCTACTGATTTCTTCATTCGAATTTTCCATATTTTTGTTGTGGAACAATATTGATTCTGGTTTCAAACATCACCATAATCTTGATAGATTATTCAAAATTTTATTCATCGTTCATCTCACCGATAGCGATCACTTGCACAGCTATGAAATCTCAGGTAGGGTATGTCATTTATTTTCATTCAATCAATTTGACATCTTTGGTTCCACCAATATGTTTGTTACACCAAGTAGCTCCATTTCTTAGTCAGAAATAATTGTATTATTGAAGCAAAGAATCCATATTGTCAAAGTATAGTAATAACAATTTCGTACACTTGGCTCAAATTAATTGTTTTTGGATATTATGGATACATTCAAGTTGAAAATTTTTATTACATTACATAGAATATTCGAATTCTTCATTTGGGATTCCCTAATCTTCTCAAATATTATTCAGAAATCTCTGCTGTCATTCCTTCACTAGCAATACCAGTCAGACGAACTAGACAAGCCCAGTCAGCACATCCTTTCATTGTCAACCTCGAAAGATGTCGAACAGCACTTTATCAAAACTCCTTCATCCATAGAACGGCCAGGCTCTGGAACTCATTGCCTGAGGAAGTATTCCCATCAACAACATAATATAATCTCCAGTTCAAAAAAAAATCCAATACCTACCTCCTGTCCCTATCCTCCCTAGGAACGCACGATGATCTTTGAACATTATAGGGGTTTCCTTCCGTGCGCTCCAAGCGATAAAAAAAACTCATGAAAATATTAATTTATTCTGAAAGTATTTTTTTGCGAATATGAATTTTTCGTGATAACAAAATATTCATTCGAGCATACCGGATGTCCCAGTATAATAATAATAACAATAATAATAAAAATAATAATAATAATATTTATTTCCTTTGGTAGTGATATACATTTGTACATAATAATAACAGTAGGTTATATGAGTGTAGAGAAATAAATATAGTTAACCCATAAAAGGTTGCCCTGTTCCAATAGATTATCTTAGCCATATCGAAAGATGAAAATACGAAAATTAAATGATCTTCTACAATTCTAATGATTTGACATTATTATTGAAGTCCAAATCAACAATACAGAAATATCGTTCAATTTGAAATTTCAATTGCCGTTTTCTCCTTCAAATCAAATTCAAAATACGAATTGTGATTCATCGTTGGTAATCTTGAGTAGGAATCGAAAATTGCAAAAAATATACAGGGTGCTATTTGAAATGAAAAAGCTAGAGTCACTTCCGGTTAAACCGGAAGCTTCCTTGAACGAATTAGAGAACATGAAATTATCGAATTCTCATTTTTCGAAATGACTGGGATAATTCATTGGAACAGGTATACTGGGACACCCGGTATATAAACAAACCATTTACTTGAAGTACAACAAATTTTGTTGGTTAAAAAAATTCTTCCTTTGTGTGTACTTCAACTTTTTCAGTTACTGCGGAAAAACGTTGTTTCTCTCTCAGCATAACCGCTCTGTATATCTCGAGAACTGACCAATTAGTATTGTTAGGTCCCTATTCCATTTTTTTCTCATACGAAGAAAACTATCACTTGTGTGAAGTTGTTGGCTTAATTTCGCTTCACACGGTACAGCGGGTCACAAATTACTTGATTTTGTCAGTTTTTTCTATTTCCAGAACAAACAATTGATACGAGATATATTTTTTTTTGCAGATGTATCTTATTCTTTATTAAAAAGTGTCTGTAGAAAGTTTTTTCTGTTTAGAAAAATATTCGAAAATAAAAATGTCATGACATATATTTGAAGTCGCTCAAATGTCATTTTTCGCCTATATCTCGAAAACGGTTAGAGATATAGAAATGCGGTTTTCATCAATCGACGTTTCACAAAAATTGAACTGGTACTGGTGGAAGACGTTTCCACGTCAGCAACTAGTCCCCAATGGGACCTTTTTGCAAACCCCAAGTGTTTTCAATGACTGATGTGTTTCGCTCAAGAGAGCTGCCTAACATCCTTTTCAGGCACCGCCCATCAGCTCTCTTTTCAGAGTTTTTCAGCTGTGTTTTGTAGGCTGGTAATGTACTCACTACCATATGCGCAGTGGCAGGCCTGCTAACTATCATCGTTAACCCCCGAGACCGAGCTCTCACGCTCAGCTGGTAGTTTTCCACACCCACCTACATACACCGTCCTACTTCTTCTCTGATGCTCACAACCACATCATCATATCTTTCTGGGTGTTCTGTGTAGGCTTTGTTACTAACTCTATGCGCCACTTTAGGAGCAGCACTGTTAATTGGAACGCAACAGCGAATCGTGCAGGACTATCCCCAGCCGATGCTCCGAAACTTCACAATATTTAACTCGTAAATAAAATATTGAAAAAAGTTCCTTGCCCGTGCTGGAAATCGAACCCACGACCTTGCGGTCGTGAGACGGACGCTCTTCCACTGCGCCAATCCCGGCTGACGTTTCACAAAAATTGAACTCTAAACCCTCAGGACAGTGTTGCTGTAGCTGTTCTGGTGAAAGGAAAAACGGCCAAAATCAAGCAGTTTGGGACACCCTGTACATATATGGATTAAATGACTACTTGATACTCTGAATTTTCAGTTGAGAATTCCGCTCCATAAAATGATGTACCAGTGCAAATTTATGAGACAAGAAGTGAACTGTTCTGAACTATTCATCCCAATCATTCTAGATGAAAGCGTTTGTTATACCTTCAATATGCTGGGCAGAGATGACATTTTCAACCCAAATGTGTGAGTATGGACAAACATCACCTACCTATCATTTTAATAACATTCATGACAAAGTTTGAAGAAGAATATACAGGGTGATTCAAGTTCTGAGGCACAAACCGAAATGTGTGATAGATCTCATCATTTTGATCAAAAAAATCTTTATGAACATGAGTCCGATCTCCTCTTGTAGCTCCGCTACTGATGGTCGGAACTTAATTATTTTTATATTCATTGAAATATCTCACTCACTATTGGGAATATTAATTTGAATTTAATTGAGGTTGTTACTTCTCAGAAGATCGTAATTTTAAGCATTTTGAATATTTTCAAAACCTACAGGGTAAGACATTTTTGGAGCTACAGGCTTCTTTATCCCACCCAAAATTTGTATTAGTACACCTCTGACATAATCTAGTTACTGGATTAGGGGAATTGTCCAGTTTGAACTTCCTTTTGATAAACGAACCGTTTACGAAATAAATAAGCTTATCCGTTCTGAAACATGTTTAATTTGTCTACATACAGGGTGTAAATTTGAAAACATCCAATGCGAATATCTCGCGATAGAAAAAAGTTAGAAAAACGCCGTTTGGCAAAAATGCTAAAGAGTTAAGGGGAACTAGAACCACCATATTTTGGTCAAGGGATAAGTCACCCCGTCGGCGCGACACACCCCAACTTTGAAATGTCAAATGGCACTACCTTTCTTGTGATGCCTCAAATGAACAGTCTCAGTCAGTAGTATTCACCTGTACAAGACTTTTTTTCCACCCACTACAGGGTGTACGAAAAATATAAAGTCGAATAAAATAAAATGAATTGTGTTAAAAGGATATTTTATTTGATCAGATGTTCAAAATGCATTCCATTCTGTTGTGAGCAATAGTATATTCGATGTTCAAATGCCATTCTAACATTTTGGAACACATCTCTTGAAATATATCGGCATTCTGCATTTTATTTTATTCGACTTTATGTTTTCCGTTCACCCTGTAGTGGGTGGAAAATAAGTCTTGTACAGGTGAATACTATACTGACTGAGACCGTTCGTTTGAGGAATCACAAAAGAGGTAGTGCCATTTGACATTTCAAAGATGGAGTGTGTCTCGCAGACGGGGTGACTCATCCCTTTACTGAAGTATGGTGGTTCTAGTTCCTCCTAACTCTGTAGCATTTGTGCCAAACGGCGTTTTTCTAACTGTTTTATTTAGCGAGATATTCGCATTGAAAGTTTTCAAATTTAGACCCTCGAAATAATGTTTCTCGTACACCCTGTAGTGGGTGGAAAAAAAGTCTTGTACAGGTGAATACTACTGACTGAGACCGTTCATTTGAGGTATCACAAAAGAGGTAGTGCCATTTGACATTTCAAAGTTAGGGTGTGTTGCGCTGACAGGGTGACTCATCCTTTTACTGAAATATGGTGGTTCTAGTTCCCCTTAACTCTTTAGCATTTTTGCCAAGCGGCGTTTTTTTAACTTTTTTATTTTGCGAGATATTCGCATTCTAAGTTTTCAAATTTACACCCTGTATATAAAGTGCTCAAAGAAACATGTTGGTTCCTCTAGGACCAGATCTTGCATAACTGATGAGGACATCCAGTTGAGTCGATGGTCCGTAGAAGGTTCCCAATAGATCCTGAAATAATTTCCCAAGGATGTCCAATGGACTTACGTGATGAACATCGACGAAGAGTATTTATAGCCTACGAGCAATCATTCGTCGGCGAGGTGTAAGTCCTCGCAGGGACAACATATCGAAAGTACCGACTGGGACGTCCGTAGGACGTTATTTCTGGGACATTGAAAGAGTACAGTTCATGTACCAATTGGGAAATCCGACGGATATCCCTAAGGGACATTTGAAGGATGTCCCAAAGGGATATTTCGACTGTTATACGATCCTGGAAATAGTAAGGGCGTCTGTGCAGAGCTATTTGAAGTAATGTACCATCAGGGACAATTCATGGTTTTCAAGAAAGGACATTATATAAGTTCTGAAGTCATGTCAGAACATGTACTACTCGGTACATCCGATGGATGTACCTAAGGGAACATTTAAAATCATATTCCATCAGGGACATGCCAAGGACGTCCTTGCATGGACATTCTACAATATGTACCACGTGGGACGTCTAACAGATGCTTTTTCTAGGACATTTGAAATGATGATGTACCAGCTGTGACATTCCGTGGACGTCCTTGCTCGTACTTTGCCTGAGATGTACGGGATGGGACGTCGCAAGGACACTTATTTTTAGTCCGGGACATTCGGACGTTGTGTGCTATTAGGGAAGTGTGCTGCAATCAACTATCAATGAAGGCTCTGAAAATACAATTAAATACAGATTGTTTCATGTGGAATATCAAATGTTGCTACATCACTGAAAATATTTCAGATCAATATAGACCAAGAACAACTACTTAAGTAATCGAATTTTCAGAATGATACTTTGTCCCGTTCTACGTGAATGTCTAAAGTTGCCATCACCAGCGTGACCTACCCTTAATATTATCTACTATTTCAGTGCATTTTCATCTGCTTTGTACTGAAAATCTGAATTTTGAAGTCATAATGAACCTCTCTGGTTTTAGCGTCACTTTCAAAAACTATCACAAGAATGCATACAAATCCCAATGGACTGTCGACGGAGGATATGAGACAAATGAGGGAACGGAGACCTATCCTGTCAGAGCCTATTTGGCAGGAGCAGATAATGCTTTGGATATAACATTTCATCAAAACGACAGTGATTTAGACTACTTATGTTTGGACGATATTCAAGGTTATAGCGTGAGTATACTCATATATTTCCAATGAACTCAATATAAATACCTGGAAGGGATCCTCTGTGAAGGACGAGTGAGGCAAAAATATTGTTCAGGCAACCCGTAGTGCTTACGGATATCTATCTTTTTCTACCTTATGTTGGCTAATGGAAAGCGCTCGCATTATTTGAAATATGTCCTTGTTTTTTGCTCTTATTCAAGAGTGAACGTTATTAAATATAAATATATATTCAGGAGGAAGGATATTGTTGCAATCAATTATTATTTGAAAATGATTATTGTTTTTTTTTATTGACTCAAAAGTGAAATTTCATTTTTATTCTTACAGGATTAGGAAGGTGAATAAATACAAAATTGAAATTATATATTCTCATTCAAGTGTCACAATATATTGTACAGGGTGAGCGAAACTAAATGTCTCAACACTATCAGAGAAAATAGAAAAACGATAGAAAAAAATTAAAAGGCCTAATTTTTAAGAGTACCAATTTTTCCATAAACATTTCGCTATAAGAAGGTGAAATAAAGGTGAATAAGAATTGAATGAAAGTATACCTAATGTTAAAACGAATTTTCTCATTACAGATGAATATCTGCGTCGTCCAGAATGTACACATTCATTTTTTTTTTTCTGGAGAAGGAGAAGCTCCAAAGGCAAATCTGAAAAGACAATATTAGATGTAGCTCTTGAGTTTAAAAATTTGAACGTGTTGTTTTAATCTTCAAAATTCTTTTTAATACCTCATCAAGATTGCCATTCTCATTTTCACTTTTTGTTTCAGTATTTTCACTTTTCTTTGCAACAGAATAGGCGTTCTCGAATGAAACATTATGTGGGTTTAATTATCAAGGAACTTCGAGATTTACATGGGAGCTGGAATTTGTAAGCAAATCAATGTCCATATGAAAAGCATTATCCTCAGAATCCAAGTTATGAAAATCCACAGACACATCCACAGACAAATGACAAATACTGAAAATAAATTACTATAGTATTTCTAAGAATCTGAACAATTTTCAACTCACCCATGAAGGACAATTCCTGTTTGTCTTGCTTGTTCTGCATCCAAAGGCAACACAATATGAGGAATCATTGCTTTTTAATTCGAAATCGCAAATCTTCTCAACAATAATCAATTCTCACCAACCAATTCAGTTCTTTTGAAGAAACAAAATGCGCCGAGTTTAGCGATATATCACATAACAATAAGAAACAATGAAGTTCTGTCTGCCTGTATAGATGGAAAAACATATTCACCAATCCACCATTAAACCACACGAGTGTGAAAGAGACAGGTTACCGTAACAAGAGCTATCTTTGTTGCAGCTGCCCCTGACACACCCAGTGCTGATGTAAAAACTTCACAAACGATGCTATTCGAGAAACCGGCATTCTCCCTCCCAGGTGTTTATATTGAGTTCATTGTATATTTCAGGAGTGGATAATTGTACTGGTTAATGCATAAATCAGAAACAGATTGAATCATTAAAATGCCTCATGATGTAACTCTGCTATTTTTCATCCGAATTGGCCAATAATTATCACCCAGAAAACATGAAATAACTGGCGATTCAAAGGCCCGATCATTCTAGCCATGGCGTACTGCTGATACTTTTTGCTTGAAATATTGTATTATGGAACAAGTGTTATGAACGGCCTTTGAGTGACAAATATTTTTGAGCACGAGCGCAGCGGAGCGAGTCTCAGTCTTAGTCTTGAAACTCCTGACATTGAATAAAACACAAGATAAAACATAATAGGAGGAAAGTATGATAGTATAGATCATTCCCAACATTTTCGAGCAACCAGCACAAATATTTCTTATACTCCGAAACAAATTATCATGTGAATGTTGAAGACTTGGCGACAATGTGCTGAATGCTGGGAACTGACAATACACCGACCACAATGCACTATCCAGAAAACATATTCTAGATATTAGAAAACTGTTGCGACACACACGGTTTGTTAACAAATTTGTTTTCTATAACAACTTTGAAACCGCATCTGCGCTAATTGCTAACGAAAGTCGTTGACTGACGGTAGGCTATCGCTTTACACTCTAAATAGGTACCTACTATAAATTATGTGCCAGTGATAGTCCACTGTGATGACATTGCTTGAAAAGTGATGGCCCACTTATGAAAATCAAATCAAATCGAAATATGCTTTATTGAAATAAATAATCTTTATTATTCCCAAGAAACATTTATGTTTATAGCAAGGAAAATTATGAAAGAGCAACTGAAAAAAAAAATAGATAATCAGATAATCATTTTCAAATCATATACATATTACATAAAATGTTGTTTCTTCTAGAGACTGTTGAATATAAGTTCTTGAATTGATCTAGAATGATATAAGAGAATCAAAGACATAAGTATTTTTTCAGTTCTTCTTTGAATTTCTCAACACTTATTTCTTTCTTGAGTCTGCCGGTAATTTGTTATAGAGAATTGTTCCATTGCATAAAATAGATCTTTTACCCTCATCTGATTATATTTTGATGAGAGTTAACATATCTTTTTGTCTGGTTATGTATTCGTGTTTATGACTATTGACTTCAAAATTCAGAATTGAATGTTTATGATTATATTTGACGGAATGGATGGAACTTAATATTTTGAATTTGTATAAATGGAGTTGATATCTAACAATTGCCTAGGTTTATAAAGATTTTTTGTTGGTTCCAAGTGATCTAGTTTGTATATACATTTTATAACTTTGAAGGATTTTGATTGGCTTCATAATTGATAATCTAGCTGTTCCCCAAATTGAAATCAAGTATCGTAATAATTTTGAATGAACCAAGGAAAAATATATACATTTCAAGTATGAAGTGATTTGGTGTCTGATCCTGTAGAGTACTCCGATTACTGGAGATATTTTCTTTCTGATAGATTCAATATGTTTGGACCATGACAAAATGTTCATCATGGAATATCCCAAGGAATTTGATGACTGTGGAATATTTGATGAATTCATTATTGAATTTGATATCAAATTCCAGTTCACTTGAGACGCGTCGTTTAGAGATATACATGAATGCTGATTTGCTGTAATTTATACTCAATTTATTAAAGGACAACCATGAAGATAAAATAATCAAGTCACTTTCAATTGCATTTCTGATTTGTTGGATTGAGTCTGTAATCCTTGTAGACAAAGCTAAGTATGTTGTCAAAATAAAATAATAATGATTCAATGTAAATTATACAACAAATATTAACATAAACAAATTTTTTCACAAACATGTGCACACATAAGGATCCGTTGTTTATAAAATTCCTCAACATTATAGAACGCATAAGGAACTAACAAGTTTTTCAATTCCTTTCTTAATTTTTCCATATCAGAAGTACATTTGACTATAGTTGGAAGATGACATTTTCAGGCCATTATACAGGGTGGTCCGTTTTTTAATACGGAAAATTCAACAGCGTATAGTACTCGTTGAAATAATAAATAAACTTCCTATGAACATATACTTTTAAACGCTTCGTTTTCGAGATATAGGGTGTTCAAGTTTCTTTGAAAAATCGATTATTTATTGATTTCTCAGAAATGCTATAACCGATTGTGATGAAATTCACAACTATTGTGGAAATATCAATGAGCTAACTTTTAGACCTATAACAGTCCATGAATGAGTTACATATTTTCAGGGGCGTGCATTTCAAAATACAATTTTTTTGCCCTCTTAGATTTCTTATCTAATAGCTGAGGAAAAATGAAAACCAAACGAAATGAATATCTGCATACTCTTCGGTACTGAATCCCATAGGCATATTGACAAACAGCAAAATTGGAATAAAATTATTACACTTTTTGATAAAAACACGGAATAACTCCAATTTGTTATTTCTATGTCAGAACTTTCACACTGAGAGAAAACTTGAGTTATCATAATTGGAAATCTGATAACCGTTATTACGATATCTGCAATAAATAGGGGAGAGATGTGTTCATTTGCTACCATAGATGAAGTGAATTTTCAGGTGACTTGTAGTTATGGCAGCATATTCAATTTGCAAACTTGTATAAAAACACCGCTGCTGAATAACTACTACTTGTTCTAGTTTCTATGATAACACAGAATGTCGAATAGGAATTATTCCCATAAAATGTTGCAGTAACTCTCCACTCTACCAGTGGTTATTAGACTATCGACATAAAACAGCATGTTTTTATTACTGGCACAACCATCTTGAGGTAACGCAGTAATACGTCTCATTTTATTATAGTTATCTGATATCTGCATGAAACCTGACATTTTGACATGCTATTGTAATATAGCTCATTTTCAACAGTTATCCCAATATTTTTCTACTCTAGTATATTCATCAAACAGTGGTAATAAGGTTATCCAATCAACATTATTCGATGGTATGCATTATGAAACCGTGCTTTGAATTACTGCAATGAAAATAAATATCCTATCCACACTATCACTTTTCATGATCCAAAGTGATTGTTTTCAAAAAAACAAAAAAATACGTTTAGTCTCTGAATTGAAATATTTGCCTATCTGTGGAAGTTTTTAGACATTACTCATTGATTTTCTCGGAGAAATATCATCTATATGCATTACTGACGAATTTATCAAAAAATGAGAAGTTGAATACTTATATTTACCCTTCCTTTGGAGTTATTATGAGAATTGTCAATAAAACTTCCCTCACAGAAACCCAGATATTTTGATTCAGAATCTCATGGATCATTTTGTTTTTGAAATAAACCAATTTTAGGCCGTGAAAAGTGGGTATAGAGAATACTTTTTCACTGCAGTAATGCAATGCACGGTGTATTTCACAACTCGGTTCACAGCCAGCACTAAAACGAAACTTTGCTACATCACAGACATCCACCTACAAGACACGGCTCTATATATCGATTCGGACGATCGAAACCATATCGAAACCATTGAACAATAATTGAACACGGGCACCCATGACCGAGAACAGCAGTGAAATGAACGCGATCTGTATAGCTTTGTCAGCCCCAAAACTAATGAAAAACTAGAGCGAAATAATGAGCCGCATTACGATTGTCGAATGATTGTCTAATAACCGTCATACATGTGAATTGCTATAGTTATTCGTCAACGTACAATGCTAGAATCCCAAGCAGCTATGATTATTGGGACAAACATTATATAAATTCTCCAATAAGTATAATTCACAAAACGAGCTATGTCAATAAAAAATCTGAATAGACTAGAATTCATGAAATTCCCATAATGTCATAACACACCTGCGTTATGATGGTAGCAAATGTCCATTCAAGGGTATTACAAACGGTTTAAAAAATCCATTTTTATAATTACAGAATGGGGAGAATACTGTTGTAATAATAAAATGATCAGGAATAGGAGATTTCTTTATAATGGTTATTAAAATCAGAGCTGGTAGATATTTTTAATATCCAGTTTCTCTCAGTGCAGAGTGACTGAGCATAGCCTACTTCTTTAATTGATATCAAGTAGTATTCTTCAACTAAAAAATGTTGAAAAATCTAACAAGCGAGCTTTTTTCATTGAAACTTGAAAAATGAATGAAAAATAATTACCCGAAAAATATGTGTTATTATTACCTTCGTCATCCCAGATTCAGCCGCCACTGAATAGTTTTCATGAATAATTTTTATTTGATCTAATAAAGCTCTGAAAGTTCAGTATCTATGAAAAATTTCGTTAATTTATCTAACGTTTCTAACTTTTAATTAAAAAAATATATTCAGAAGCGTATCTTTGACATCCAATATATCAAAAACGATGAGTTCAAAAGTATATTTTCATAGGAAGTTTTTTATTATTTCAACGAGTACTATACGGTGTTGAATTTTCCGTATTAAAAAACGGACAACCCTGTATATCATGGAATCTTTTATAAGTGAACTGCAAGGCCGGGGAAGCTTTACCATGTCGGCCTGGCGTGTGTTGTAAAATGATTCCACGACTACGTAATAACTGTTGACTCTCTGTGCTCCCTGAATAAACTAGAGTCTAGCCATAGCACCAGTGCGAGAATATTGCGCCTGGTGCGCAGGTCGCTGGGCGCGAGAAATTGCAGCGAAACAAAAATAAATAAGTCATTGTGAAATGATAATGCGCGTCGCTCGCTGCTCAATGTCGCTGCTAGCTGGGCGCGAGAAATTGCAGCGAAACAAAAATAAATAAGTCATTGTTGTGAAATGATACATTAGACAACTGCTTTCCTAGTTGATACCATGTTACAGGGTGATCCCTAGAATCGTGACACACCTCAAATCAATTTATTCAAATTGAATTAACACTGTACCGTTCATAATTATTACATATATATATCCCCAGATAGCACGAATATTCTCAGAATATTCTTACAAGCTGCGAAAATGTCATCTTCTAGAATAATATTCTGAAGAATATGCATAGAAAGTTCTCAGTATGTTGCGAATATTTATGGAATGTTCCATGCGAATATTCTGATAGTATTACATGAAAGTACATTCCTAGAAGCTCCTGGGATATAATATTCCAGAATGTTCATTAAATAATATTTTCAGAATATTGTGAACATTCATGGAATACTTTGCGAATATACTGATGATATTCTGAAAATATGTTCCAATGAGCTTCTGAAATGGAATATTCTAGAATGACAATGTTCAAATATACTTATTTCAGAATATTCTAACATAATGTCCTTAAAATGATCATAAAATATTTTCATCCTGCAACGAATATTCTATGAACATTCAATTTGACATAGATACACAAGAATATTCTTTTCGAGTATTCTGAGAATATACAGAATCGTATCAAATTATGAAATTGATGTTATTATTCATGTATTGATATACAAAGTGTTCCCCTTACCAAACCCATTATTATAATGGTTGTATGCCACTAAGTGTTGAGATCGATTGCATTTTTAAAGTGTGAAACGCTAGACTTGGAGGTCAAACGATAAATGAGTACATATTCTGGAAACAGTTCGAATGGCAACCAACAAATCTCCTTTCCGTGATACATGATTCGCCGCCAATTAAGGGTATTGGGTATTCTTTTACCAATGATGATCTTTATTGTTTCGCTCCAATATTTGTCCCGCGCAGCACGGCCGCAACCCTTCTCGCCTCGCTTCTCGCGCTCGGCGAACGAGCGAGCAAGCAACGAAATTTTCTGTTTCTCGCGCCCAGCGACCTGCGCACCAGGCGCAATATTCTCGCACTGGTGCTATGGCTAGACTCTAGTCCTGAATAACTCCATAGAAGAGGTTTTTGGATTGACTTCGTGCGCTCCAAGCGAAAAAAAAAAAATATACAGTGTGACCCACTTCAAATGGAACCACCCCTGTATCTCATGTAATCGTTAGGTAAGGATCCTGAAATTTGCTGGAGCGAGAGATATACCAAAAATGCACTCTATGACCAAGTGGGGTCATCTTCAGTGATATACACTGCTCGCCAACAGCCATGGAACCACCCCAATTTCCGGAAAATGATATTAGGAGTCAAAATAGGTTGAAAATCACTTCGGATTCGGAATCAAGACGCACCCTTCACTAACTATCCATAGTTTTCCTAGGAAATTTGCAGTTCAGAAAAATTAAATTTTGTCCCATTTCTCATGGAAGCACCCCCCGTATCTCACGTAATTATTGAGGTAGGATTCTGAAATTTGCAGGAGGGAGGGAAAGTCCAAAGATAAAGTCAATTACGTAAGATACGGGGGTGTTTCCGTGAAAAGTGCGACAAAATTTAATTTTTCAGAACTGAAAATTTTTCAGGAAAAATATGAATAGTTAGTGTATTGGGCGTCCTGATTCCGAATCTGAAATGATGTTCAACCTATTTTGACTCCTAATATCATTTTCCGGAAATTGGGGTAGTTCCATGGCTGTTGGCGAGCAGTGTATATCACTGAAGATGACCCCACTTGGTCATAGAGTGCATTTTTGGTATATATCTCTCACTCCCAGCAATTTTCAGGATCCTTACCTAACGATTACATGAGATACAGGGGTGGTTCCATTTGAAGTGGGTCACACGGTATATATACCTATCTCAAGGCCCGTTTTTGTGAGATGAAAGTTGACTGTGAAATAAGGTTATTACAAGTTTCTCAAAATGCAATTCCATACCTCAAATGGAATTCAATCAGAGCGTTATATATAGGCCGTCATAGCAGCAGAATAACCCAACTCGTTTGATATCACTCTGATTGCATAGCATCCTGATACAAGTTTATTGCATATAGGTATGAAACATGCAGATCAGATTTCAATTTTCTGTCCACAAAAAGACCAAGGAACTTTGTGCTCAATTCATTTTCGATAGTTTTATGATCCAGAGATATAAGAGGCAACTCACATCGAAATGTTATCAGGTCAGTTTTCTGGATATTGAAGAAAAGTCGGTCTGATTGGCTCCATTAATGAATGATTTCGACGTCTTTGATTATTTTGATTTGTAGTGCGTCCACAGATCTACCACTCCATAATATGGTGTAATGTGAGTAATGTTTTTTCCATTATGTTATTATTCCAGATATTACTTCACCAACCATACAAGATACCTTTAGTGAAAAAACAATATTTTCAAGTTCCTTTCGACACAGCCGTAGTAGCAGTTATTCAACCAGAGTTGATGACAACGTCAGCGGATGTAAAGAAGTACAGCGCCTCCAAGAGGAAGTGCTATTTCACCACAGAGAGAAAATTGAAATACTTCAAATACTATTCACCATCCAACTGCAAATTCGAGTGTTTGATAAACCATACATTAGAGAGTTGTAAATGTGTTAAATTTCACATGCCAAGTAAGTAAAACAATGAGTGAAAACCCCAATGAATAGAACGATAATAAAGGTGGAATCTCTAGCTGTTGAGTTGGACATATCGAAAGCATTCGACCTTGTCTGGCACGAAGGACTCCTCCACCCAGACAGCACTGGATATTCCTAGAATATTCTCTACATATGCTAAAAGAGAAGAATATATTCCGAATATCCTTAGAATATTCTTAGAATATATACGTGCCTCTGGAACATTAAAGGAAAATTCAAATGTGAATATTCTAGTAATATTCCGAAATGAATATACGACGAATATTCCAGAAGGAATATTCTAAAGTGAATATTCCTATAATATTCCAGTCGGATAGTGCTGGGAATATTCAGGTTTGAATATTCTAGGAATATTCCCAACTGAATATTCTGTTCCTGTATATTCATGGAATATTCCAATAATATTCCCATGTGTTTCAATGAAATTGTAAAGTATGGAAATTAACCAATCACTATTTTATAGATGTGAGTCACTGATATTTAAATCTGTGGTAGGTAGAAGTCCATCGTATTTCAAATTGAAGTGGTTATATTACCAGGGATCAAAAACACAAAGTCGTCTCCACAATTTTGACAGGTAGTGATCGAAGTACTCTAAGATCATCGTACATGTTAAGAGCCCATTATGGAACTGGAAGTATTCATGATCCGCTTCTGAACAACGCAATTCAATGAATTGTTATGTACAGAATTATTCAACTCGATTACTGGCCTAGTGGTTAAGGCGTTGATCTAACAGTCTGAAAGTCCCGAGTTCGAGCCCATCTTGGGTCAGCTTTTTTTAATTATGAATATGTATTAAGGAATATTCCCGGAATATTCATTTATTTATATTCCTGTATTATTCCTGGAATATTCTGAATATTATCTGAATATTCCTAGAATATTATAGGTACATTCTGAATATATATGGAATATTCCTTGTGTAATATTCTGGGAATATATGAAATTTTCCCCACCAGCACATTCAGGGAATATTCCATAAATGATATGTATATTCCTGGCATGTTCATGAATATTCGCAATATCCAAAAAGAATATTCTATGAATATTCATGGAATATCTGGTGCTGTCTGGGCACAAACTACCATCATACGGCTTACCACCTCAGCTATGCCATCTCTTATCGAGTTTTCTTTCAGGCAGATCGCTTCACGTAGTGGTGAACGGTGTATCGTCTGATACCATTGGCATCAATTTCGGCGTTCTACAAGGATCAATTTTAGAACCAACATTATTCCTTCTTTATATCAATGATCTGTTGGGAGTAACAACTTGCCCCATCCACAGCTTTGCAGATGATAGTACCCTTCATACTGCGTTCTCTTCCAGAATTTCCATTTCTTCCCAGGAAACTAAGAACTCACGGCGCAGGCAGGTCAATGCTGTCAATGAAGACCTTGCTGAAATTACAGCCTGGCCAACCAACAACCTAGTTCAATTCAAGCCTGTATTTTCTCTAGAAAGGCGGAACTCAGTATGCCCGATATTGTAATGTCTGGCAACACAATTCCCACAAAGCCCACCATATCTATGTTCGGTATTTCCATCAACAACACTCTTTGGGATTATCATGTCAGATCCATCGCAAAAGCTGCTTCACAAAAACTCGGATTCTTGTTCCGTGCGAAAAGCTAACTTTACACCTCAACAGCTTCTCATGATCTACAAAGCGCAGATACGGCCTGTTCTAGAATACTGTTCCCACATATGGGGTTCAGCACAAAAACATACGCTGATGCTCTTAGATTCCATCCAGAGAAGAGCCATTCGCCTGGTGGGTGACGCCACAATCACTCACTCTTTGACATCATTGGAATACTGTAGAAAGGTCGATACGACCTCTTACTTTTCTATCGATACTTCCACGGGAAATGTTCTTCGGAAATCTCTGCTATCATCCCTTCACTTGCAATACCAGTCAGACGAACTAGACAGGCCCAGTCAGCACGTCCTTTCGTTGTCAACCTCGAAAGATGTCGGACAGCACTTTATCAAAACTCCTTCATCCATAGAACGGCTAGGCTCTGGAATTCATTGCCTGAGGAATTGTTCCCAACAACATAATATAATCTCCAGAAGTTCAAAAAAAATTCCAATACCTACCTCCTGTCCCTATTCTCCCTAGGAACGCACGATGTTCTTTGAACATTATAGGGATTTCCTTTCTTGCGCTCCAAGCGATAAATAAAATTATGCAGACCGCTTTTTTACTAATCTGTTGCTTTCATTAACTGTCATCAAAGTTTGTTTTCATTTAAGGACTATGATACCTTTATGCACCACCTTTTTTCAAATTTTAAACTCTTCTTCTTGATCAAAACAGAGTCCTCAGCGTACTTAGCCCGATGAAATATTTGTGTTATTACATTCAGCGATAACATAGTTACAATAAGAATCATTCATTCATATTGTTTTCTGAGTCCAATTCGAACATACGACTACAATTTCCAGAAATTTCAACCAAATTTTGGAAAAAAAAGAGGAAGAAATTGTCTGTCAGACTTATGACAGAATCGCGCCTGCGCAAGTCACAGTTCAATTTGTATTTGTCGTTAAGAGATAAAAGTTGGTCATTTTTTAGCGATGAGTTAATGAGAGATAAAATTCAATTCAGGTGCATATATGAATGAACGGGAGTACCAATTTTTAATACAGACGTATGCACCATGATAAGGTATAATATTTATTTTTGTTTTTTTATGAAAACATCAATAAATTATATTGACGTAATGGGTCGGGTTATTAATTTCATAGGGATCCACGTGCCCTTAAATTGCCAAAGGTGACAATATCAAACATGTGAAAATCAATCTCAATTTGATGGGGTATCGAAGTTAACCGTGAACTGTGAAACTGTGAAATGATCATGTCTGAATCTTGTGTCATTTTATTGTCTAAATTATCAATTTCTCACCATTTTTATTTCCATAACTGAATACTTGGATTTGGCTGATGATGGACTTATATAAGCCCGAAACATGTACGTCAAATAAATGTTGTGGAGAAGACTTGGGGTTTCTTCATCTATGGAATATATATGACTCGATCCACTTTTCTTCCAAAGATCAAAATATATGGATATATTGAAGAAATTTCGAGGTTCTACTCTTATATTTGGACGTTTCAGAAACGAATATATGCTTCCGTTCCCAAATGAAAATTCAAAAATATCTTTCTTTGAAAGCATTGTCCTTAAAGTTTGGCACATTTCAGTGACATATTGATGTTGACATATGAATGAATGATGTTAGTATACAAATGAGTTACAGGATACTTTCATCAATTGATCTTGAGCCTAACATCACTCACTTTTATACCATCATCAGTATGTCACTGAGATGTGTCAAAAATTTGAAAGCACAACAACTGTCAAAGGAAAATAGTTTTTCCTACGAACACCTATGAAAACAGCACGAAACACATTGATTTGTTATTGAGAAAGTGACTCGTTTCACTATGACAACATATAACAGTTAGAGAGTTCGAAAGTAAAACTCACATGGGTGGAAATTATCGGAAATCGCACAGTAACAGGGTCTATAGATTATGATGTACCAATTAATGAATGATTATTATGCTGAATTATGGTAAGTTAAGTTATGGTCAAGTTGATGGAAAGTTAGTGTCGATTTAACATGAGCTATTGTCGTTAATGTTGACGTAATGTCAAGTTGATGAAAAGTTGAAATCAAGTTAATTCCAATTGAAAGTTGAATTGATGTCAATGTATTGGCAATTTAGTGATCAATGTGAAGTTAATGTCAATTTGATATTGAGTTGATGTTAATTTGATTTCAAGGTAATGTCAAGTTAATTTTGAAATTGAATTTTAAGATAATGTTGATTGAATGTTGAGATAATGTTGAATAATTATTGAGTTAATGTTAAGATGATGTTGAGTCAATACTAGGTTAATTTTAAGTTAATGTTGAGTTGATGTTGATGTTAAGTTAATTTCAAGTTAATGTTAGGAAACTGTTGAATTTATGTCAAGTTGATGTTAAGTGGATGTTGAGTGGATGTTACGTTGATGTTAAGTTGATGTTGAGTTAATGTTGAGTTAATGTTGAGTTAATGTTGAGTTCATATTGAGTTAATGTTGAGTTAACGTTAAACTAATGATGTCATTTAAATATTGGAGTAAAATTGAATAATGATGATAATGATATCACCTTCAGGTGATCGAATATTATTAGAAACATAATCCTTACTCTGGTCTTATAAACACTCATGACATATTATATAAATATTTGTGGTCGTAGGAGAAATAGTGTACAAAACTCGTTGGAAAGTGCATTTCCTGCGCTCGTTTCGTTTCCGCACTCGCCGCTCTGCGGCTCGTGCTCAACGTCCACTCGCGCGAAATACATGTCACTTTCCACAAAAGTTATGTAATATACTATTGAATTTTCATATTGAGAACGGGAGCAGAATGGTTGCTGAAATAATAATAAGTAGGTATGTGTTGTGTTGATTGATTGTTAATCTCGTGTAAGTCGCGTTCACGAGTTGAAGCAATTTTTCAGTCGAAACTATCGATAGTTTGGTTATTTAAATGATTGTATGTCTGTGATAGTAACGAAAAGTTATACCTATTTTATATTTCAGGAGAACCAAACACGCCCATTTGTGGAAATGGTAATCATCAATGTCTGAGCTTTCAACAATGTGAGTACTAACAATATCATTATTAATTATATGTCGAGGTACAGAAAATATTCGTTCTCCGAGCAACAGGTATAGTGGCTTTTTCCTGTCGCTTAACAGGCAGAAGAGGTGTACTTTTACTGCATAGGCAGAAAAAGTTTGTTGCTATGCAACGTTTCAAGAAACTCTAATGAAATTAGTAATCAGAATTGACACAGACATTGGGTGAACACAAAATGATAAAGTTTTCGGTAAAAAAATTACACAAGATTGGTTTTATCTCATTTGAAGAAAAAATGCTATGTTTCACACGGCAGCAAATGTAGATTGACTGCCTTGGCTGAATTCCTAGACTCGCTACGCTCGGCTATAAACTATCAGCCGCGGCAGTCAATCTACTACTTTTCTGCCTAGTGAAACAAATAACTACTTTTCCCAAGTGGCATTGAAAGTGGCTTCATAATGACACTAGATAGGCAGAAAATAAACAGGACACAAAAGTAGCATATAGTACAAATAACACAAATAAAAAAGACAAAACATCTAAAACCGAAAAATCAGGATTATAAAAACTCAACTGTGTATCTTGTCCTCAGGTATATATCAGTCGAACAGGTCGTACGTTTAAACAGCGCATTCATGAAAATAAGATGATTTTTTTTTTAAAGGAAAACAAATTCAATGCAAAAAAAGAAAACAGACTCAACATACGCCTACCATATATTAGAAGAAAACCATAGATTTGATAATAATCTCGAAATTCTACACGTAGAAAATAAAGGAATGAAACTCAATCAACTTGAATCATTAGAAATCAACAAATTGAAAAACACATTTTGACGACCAACTAGACCTCAATAGTTCACCACTGTTGAATTTGTATTCTTAATAGGTGATAATATGTATTTGCTATCAACCCTTTCAAGTTGAACCAATACACCGTATTTTGATGTAGATATTGTGCCTTATCTTTGAAAATGGAGGTTCATCGAACCTGTCCACAGGTATCTAATCCTTCAGGTTGGGAAAGTAAGGTATAAAAACCTGATGAAGCTACTGTGTTAGCGAAGCATATCATGTGTTTGAGCGTTTAGTGCAAATCTTATCGTTTGTGGAGTGTTCACATTTCAGCTGTCATTGCTTGAAATTTCACATTCCATGAGCGATGAGATTTTTTTGGAATGATAACACTATGGAGTCATTGCATGTGATAGAGTCCGACCACGTTAACTTTGGGACAGCATGTGACGCAACGCATATGCATATTCAATGCATACGCGACCACGTGCTGTCCCAAAGTTATCGTGGTCGGACTCTATCAGATACGGAAATAAAATTGATGACATACAAAATACCCCATTTATGTATCGAACACAGTAAAACAAGAGCAATTTTGTGTTTTAGCTATAGAAAAATATAATTTGATTTTGAATGAGATACCCACGCATTTATTTTATTTTTTCCAGTGCATTTGAAAGTTTTACAACTGAGGAAAAACATCGGCAGCGATCGAAACGATTTCTTTTGTCAGTGCAAACCGTTATGCACCGAACTGACTTACAATATGGAACAATCTCAGTCAGCGTGGGAGTATAAAGAACAGTTCCGAGCTAAAGGAATGACAGAATACGATCTAGATGGGTAAGCATTTCGGTTATCATCAAGCTGCACACAAATTCATCAAATTTCGATTCCATATTTTCTAACTGTTCGTCAAATTACACAATATTAATAATCTAACGGTAAGATGTTCAATGAATTATTCGCGAGACCAAGACCAAGACTGATCAGTCTCGAAAAATAAATGTAGTCTTGGTCTTGGTATCGGTTTAAGACCAAGAAAAGACTGCCTCAGTCTTGGTCATGGATCAAAATGCGTCTAGAAATTTCAAACCAAATATTTACTGTATTAAATTCGTTTCTATATCCAATAAGAAGAGGTATGGACCACTCTGACCTTACAACATACACCTATTTGTTGTAAACTTTAAAACTGCAATACTGGATTTGAACAATGTATTCCGGATTTGGAGTGAACAAAAATTAAAATCCTACCATATGACATATATATAATCGATATAAAATGCCATCACATTCTCAGAATTTTTTCAATATTGAGTAGATATTGAAGTTCAATATTTTTCTTTCAAGACCAAGACTCTTGGGAGAGTCTTGGTCTTGGTCTCGAAAGTCAAGTCTTGGTCTATGGAAAGATTTATTAAGTATTGACTTTGGTCTCTCATAAGCTCGGGGGTATACAAACTCGCCAAGCTTCCATCTTATAGCTTGCCCAGCTATGTTCTCTGCTAGCTAGTTTTCTCTCGAAAAGGTATCTCCATATAGTGGTCGATGGAGTTTCATCTGACTCGTTTATAAATGCTGGTGTTCCGCAAGAATCAATTCTAGCACCAACACTATTTCTACTCCATATCAACGATTTGTTGGAAGCAAGTTCATGTACAGTACACAGCTCCGCGGATGATAGTACCCTCCATATCGCCTCCTCTTCCAATACCAACCAGGCAAATCAGAAACGAACGAGGAAGAAATGTTGACAACATGAATATGGACTTGGCAACGATTCTCAAATGGGGATCCAATAACTTGGTAGATTTCATGCAAACAAAACACAAGTATGCCTTCTCTCTAGAAGAGCCGATCTCACTGTGCCTAACATAAGCTTGTCAGGAGTAACCATATCATTGAAGACATCCATTTCGATGCTGGGTATTACTATCAGCAATAACCTTTCTTGAGATAATCACGTGGGATCAATTGCTAAAATAGTATCCCATAAACTTGAATTCTCTGTTTCGGGCCAGGAGCTATTTCACTTCCAGTCAGCTGCTTATGATCTATAAGGCACAGATTCGACCTATCCTGGAATACTGTTCCCATATTTGGAGTACAGCATCCAAACATACCCTGAAACTGTTAGATTCTGTCCAAAAAAGGGCAATTCGTCTCGTGCGTGATGCCCCGCTCACAAACTCACTCACTTTTCTGGAACACCGTAGAAAAGTTGGCGATCTGGATCTATTCTATAAATATTTTCATGGACGATGCTCTTCTGAGATATCAACAATTGTACCTCCCTTGGCAGTCCCCGAGAGATTAACCCGTCGAGTTGAGGCTTCGCACTCCTTCGTGGTCACTTTGGAGACCTGCAGAACATCTCTTTCCAAATACTTGTTCATTAAACGAACAGCAAGGCTCTGGAACACATTGCCAAGGGAGGGGTTTTCCGAGGCATACATCCTCCAGGAATTTAAGAAGAACACCAATTCCTACCTAATTTCCCTTGGTTCTCGCGATGTTCTCGAAACATTACAGGATATCCCTTTCCGTGGGAACCAGAACATAAAGAAAAACTCAACTGTGGATCTTATTGTCCGGAGGTATTTATCGGTCAGACAGATCGTACGTTCAATCAACGCATTCATAAACATAAAATGAATTTTTTGAAATCGAAAACAAATTTAACATACGCCAACCATATATTAGAAGAAAACCATAGTAATTTTTACATTTTACTTAACGATCAATTATACCTCAATGGTTCACCACTGTCGAATTTGTTTTCTCAGTAGACAATAATATGTATTTGCTATCAACCCTTTCGAGTTAACCCGGTACACCGAATTTTGATGTAGATATTGTGCCTGATTTCCGGAAATGAAGGTTTATCGAACCTGTCCACAGGTAACTTATCCTTCAAGTTGGGAGAGTAGAATATGAAAAAGTTAGGCAAGCCAAGGTTGGTTTAGTTCATTGTACCAGTATATCACCTGACGAAGCTACTGTGTTAGCAGAACATGTGTGTTTAAGAATTTTGTGAAAATCTTATCGTTTGTGAAGTGTTCACACCTCTAATGTGTGGTTTGGACAGAACAGCCTGTATGAATCATCCTTATGATTTGGATGTTTCCTATTCAGTCCGGGATATACAAGGTGTCCCAGAACAACTCATTATGAATTCCATATATATGGTGATTCATTCTGCGACCAGTGTCGTAATTAAGGGGAGGCGCCCAGCTAGCACACACACGTCAATTTCACGTCATATATGCGTCACCAATCACGTCGAAATGACCGAATTATCGACGTTAAAGAGACGTAAATGTGACGTCAATATGTCACAGCGAAACGACGTCAGCTAACGACGTCCTCTACACGTCGAATAGTTACCAAGTACGTCCAGGTTTTGACATCACCAAGAAACTGTGAAGCTCCAAATCACTTTCTCATGATCCTAATCCTTGTTGGTTGGCAAAACAGTTCAAATGATCTAGTTACAATAGTTGTGGATATTTTTTATTTGTATACATAATTATACTTAGGTATTCTTCATCTGAACGAAACTAATAAGCATAAAATCCACTATATTCCATAGTATATAGACAAAAACGGAGATGTCAAGTTTCAAAGGAATCTCAACCTAATAAACCTCAAATTATTCTTGTACCTACGATTTAAGGTATTTATAGATTACCTTCTTCAAATAACGACCTCACTACATCGAACACCTTCCAAGTTTCATTTGTAGATAGAATTATTGACCTGTTGAAAAAGTCTTGCTGTTTGAAAGGCGGCCACTACCGTACTACACTTCGCAGCCTTACGAGGCGTCATGGCGTCAACTACTTCTACTGAACGAGAGCAATGCCTTTCCTCGGAATATTGTATTCCCACAAACATTCCTATTGCCTGGAATTGATAAAATAACCAGCGACCTACAATATATTTTGCTGAACCCCACTTTTCCATAGTATCCTTGTTTTTCATGACCCAAAATCACGAATCCACCATCACAACATTCGATGAACTGGATCACGCATGCGCATGATTACGACAAACTGTGCTACGATCGACGATGTCCGATAGGGGTAGCGGTGGCATTGTGCGAAACGAAGACACACGAAGCCACGGAGCACGGATTGACCAATCATAAGCATCTGTATGTCTTGACGTGGCGCGCCAATATAAAACATGAAGGCACCTGGTATAACCGTATTCGTATGCATATAATAAATTCTTGAATCTTCCGTAACTGTTACCAAGTTATCTCTTTCAGGGTGTTTTTTATTAATATTTGTTCAACATATTTCACCACTTAGTTTTATCCATGTCGGGTATACGTGAATCCTCTTTACTAAGGTAGGTACCAATTTTATTTTGATAAACGTTCAATCATGAGTCCTGGATATGCAGTTCATGGAGTAATTTTTTCGAAATAAAACAAAATGATTGGTGCAGATGTTACGTCTAAATGACGTCAAATGACGTCTATCAGATACGTTTTTGGAACACGTCAATATGACGTCAATTATTGGTCGAATCTTGACGACGACCAATTGCCACCTATTATCCACGTCGATTCGACGAGAATTGACGTCACCCTGCTGCTGGCTGGGGGTCCAAGTGGTCTGGACTCTACCCCCCAGAGCTGTCTGAAATACCGAAACAATCTGGTAAACAATTCTGATAATAGAAGAATAGACATAACTATAGGAAATATAACGACAATTTAGTTTGTAGTTTGTTGAAACCTTCGAACGAATAGCGGAGGTTAGACCCTATAATGTAAGTAAATATAAATATTCTTTCTGCCTGTCCTGCGATGCGATGAGAATGTAAGATGGTGGAAGTATTACATATGTAGCGAGCGATAAGTATATGAAATATTGCGTAATTGCCTGCAGAGGGTGCAAGGTAATTCAATTTTTCAGTAATTGAATTAGTAGAATTTTTAATTCTCGGTATTTTGATTTTTTTGTTCTTATTTCGATGTTTCTACATGTTGATAGGTGAATTATTTGATTCAGTTCTCTATTTCCTTTATTTTGTTATTGTTAAGTTCAGTATTGACTTTTTTTTTCGAAATATCCGATATTGGACCTAGACCCCCATGCAGGAATGAATCTTAATTACGCTACTGTCTGGGACACCTTGTAGATTAGGTTTTTTGAACAAGTGTAGAGCTTAGATCTAGATTGACTCACCTTGTAGACTCGCAATTGAACAATAACAGTCTTGAGGCCGTCTTGATCAATAACAGGTGATGAAAAACGGTAAAGGAATATTGGATAATGTAAGAGTGCATGAATAAGGTATGCGTATTATCTCTTGCATACGATAGGGCGTGGTACCTATTAAAAATAATAGTCGACTCATATTATAGGTAGTTAATTCAATGAAATATTCACTTTTCTTCGACTGCAGATAATATTGCATTCGAATTTAGCTTTGTCATTGTGTTCTATTATTCGTATAAAACTTTGAGAGTAATAATAATTATAGCTCCACATTTATAATGATTAATACATTTCTATATCATTGGGATTCTTGAATGATTGTGAATATACTTATGACTTTGAGTTTTGAATTGATCAAATGTATGGAAACATCAATATATTCATCTCATCTATAACTAGTCGATATTTCAGAATTCTTATGTATAGGGTAAATCGAAAATGTGATGGTTCGCAAAATTATATCGTCAATGTTGTGAAATATTTAGTTTTTTTTGTGACGGAAGAAAAGTTTGGCATTTCATCTCTGTTGGCAGGTTATTGAATGTCACTTTTCATAATTTACTCTTTTCCCGTGGAAAAAAAGTGAGTAATTTTTTCCCGGATATA